AATATTTTTTATTGAAATATTTGAAAATTACAACGAAAGAGGGTGAATATTTAAAAGAAGATAGAACAGTAGGAAAGAATAGAAGACACCACCACCACCCCAAGATTCAAAGAAAAAGAAAAAAGTCAAAAATCAAAAAATCAGAAATCCTAAATAGGAAGAACAAATAAAAAAAATATAGATTTTTTTTTTAAAAAAAAGCTTGACTTCCATCTCCTCATCAGGTGTTGTGTCTCCAAAATTTAAAAAAAATCCCATTGCTTCTACGATAAAAGGTTCCTCTTACTTACTTCTTTCTTTCTCGTAATTATCATAGAGGGTACAATCCGTCCTCTTTATCAGATTCCCGGTATTTTTTTTCAAAAAAAAAGTTAGTTCGTTCATCTCTCTTATTTCTCTAATTTCCCCTAACCATTCTTCAATGGTAGGGATACTGTCCTGTTTCCAAAGTTTTGCCAAAGATATTCTCGCAACCGTCGTATGATAGGTAAATAATTTATCTTCATTTTCATCTAATTGTAATTCTAAATCTGTGAAACCTAATAGATAATATTCTGGTTTCTTCTTGAATACTCTCTTCAGGATTTTTTGTGTTTCTTCATGAACCATCAACCAGTATTTCACTATTTCTTTACATGTCCACCACATATGATAAAAGGTACCTGTCTGATACAGGGTTTGACAAGACACCATGCTTGTGGGATCTATGTTTTCGCTACTAGAGTTTAGAGATCTGCCAACTGGAGCCTGTTGCAAATAATATTTATTTATTTATTTATTTCACATATTTCTGTTGTGCCTTTCTCGCCCTAAAAGGGAACTCAGGGCGGCCTTACAGCAGGCAGCGATTCAGTGCCAATACATCTAAATATAAAAATAAACAAATACAATTAAAATTGTAGAATTAAATAATTCAGAGGTTTTGAGTTTGTTCCTTCATTCAGATGCCTCTATCTACTGCATGAGGAAAAGTGTCTTGCTTCCTGAATTCTACCTAAAATATTTTTGCAGAACTTTAAGCTTTACTACCTTAATGCCAGATCTTGGCCAATATGTTCAATCTGTATTTTGCTTTTTAAAAATATATTGGGTTTTCCCCTTGAAGAAAAGTTTCTTATTTGTATTTTAGTGCCTTTGATTTTTTTTTCTTCCTGTTCTTACATCATATTTGAATACATTGTGTTACTTCTGTTTTTTCAAGCCATTAGGGAATACATATTATCAGCTGACTAAATGAATATAGTAAGGCACAATTAATAGAAATATCACTGTATTCCAAAGGCTAGAGTGTTGTGTGGTTTCCAGGTTGTATGGCCGTGAGGAGAAAATGTTGCTAGAACACGGCCATACAGCCCTGAAAACACACAACACTCCAAAAAGATCACATTTCACTTTGTTCTGAAAGCCACTATCATTTTACTCCCTTTGAATAATGTCATGTGCATTAGCATTTATGCTCAGAAATGTAAAGTCAAAATTTGGGGATATATATTAAACCTGTTGTTTTTGTGTTCCACAGGTACACTCCTGATGAAATTGAAAAACTCAAGGAGTAAGTTATATTTTCTTTGAATTGGATCTTGTAAACAGTCCAGAAGAATGTATTGTCGAAGGCTTTCATGGCCGGAATCACTGGGTTGTTGTAGGTTTTTTCAGGCTGTATGGCCATGTTCTAGAACATGGCCATAGAGCCCGAAAAAACCTACAACAGCCCAATCCAGAAGAACCTTAAGATCCTTTCTGGGAAGTCCATTCCATCACTGATTGACATCTAAAGCATTTTCCTTCCTGCCTTCCTTCCTTTTTCCATTCCTTATGGGGAAAAAATGACATTGAATAGTTAACCAAAAGCATGTAAATAATAGAGTTGCATTCCTGTGGAAGTAAGACTTCTGTAAAAAGAGTTTTTAAAGGTTACTGTTTTGAACTACACCTCCCCAAATCCCACAGAAGCCAGGCCTGTAGCGAGGGGGTGGTTTTAGGGGTTCAACCCCCCCCCCCCCCCGAAATGTTTCAGTTTTTTTTAAAAAAACTGGTTTACTCATGAATTTTAACTGGTTAACCAAATCCCCATGCTAAGTCTATGAGATGCAAAAAATTAAGAGTCCCTCCAGAACTGCAAGCACTATCTCAAGCAAATATTGACAATTTATTCACACTGTCATTACTTGCAGCAATAGCCGATGTAGTGAAGCAACCAAGTTGGGTGTGTGTGTGTTGAATGCTCTCATTAAGGAGGCCAGACTTGGTTGCTTCACTACATCGGCTACTGCTGCAAAAAAAAATCGGGGAGGGTTGACAATTTTGGGGGGGGGGGGTTGAAAATTTCGGGGGGGGTTGAAAATTTCGGGGAGGGTTGAAAATTTCGGGGGGGGGGGGTTGAAACCTGCCTCCTAGCTCACGCTGAAGCAAAGAGCACAGCAGGGGGCAGAGCAACCTTCAATAGCCTGCAGCTCCACCCCTGTCAACCACCTCCACCAAGTCTGGCCTCCTTAATGAGAGCCATTAAGGAGGCCAGACTTGGTGGAGGTGGTTGACAGGGGCGGAGCTGCAGGCTATTGAAGGCTGCTCTGCCCCCTGCTGTGCTCTTTGCTTCAGCGTGAGCTAGGAGGCAAGTTTCAACCCTCCCATGAAATTTTCAACCCCCCCCCCCCCCCCCCCCCCCCCCCGCCAAAATTGTCAACCCTCCCCGAAATTTTTTTCTGGCTATGGCCCTGCCAGAAGCTACCCTGGGAAAAAGGAAAGCAATGTGTCAAGATTCTGTGTCTAGATATCAAATAACTGGAATACTCACCTTGACACCTAAAAAGGGGGAAAGTAGACTGATCAATTGGCTGTCTCAATTCTTTAATCTATATAAATAAAAATGTAATGTTTGTTTGTGGGATTAACAGAACTCAAAAACCACTGGGGGAATTGACACCAAATTTGGACACGATACAACTAACAACCCAATGTATGTCCTTCACTCAAAAAAACAACAAAAACAAAAAGCAGAAAGGACTTCTAAACTGCATGTCCACAAAGGAGAAACTGCATGTCCACAAAGAGACCCATGGCCAAGCCCCCTCCTCCTTGCGAGAAACAGCTGGCTGTTAAAGCATGAGGAGCCAGGCGTGTTTGCATAGCCACACACACACACACACACAAGCGAAAGTGGGCACCATGGGAGTGGAGGTGGAGGCTTGCCACATGGAGCCCCTTCTCTTTCCCTGCTATGTCAGGAGGGCAGTCTCCTCCTCCTCCTTTCTCTGTTGGAAGAGGAAGGGGCAGATGAGTGGCAGCGGCAGAACAACCCCCAGGCAAGGAAGAAGGGGAGGAGGAGGAGGAGGAGGCGAGGAAGGTCGAGGGTACTTGAGTGAAGGACCTTCCTTCTCTCCCTCTCTCCCTTTCCTTCTTTCCTCCCTTTCCTTACTTCCTCCCTTTTTTTCCTTTTCTTCCTCCTTCCTTCCCTTCTTTCCCTCCTTCCCTTCCTCCTGTCCCTCCTTCCTTCTTCATTTCTCCTTTCCTTTTCTTCCCCCTCCCTCCCTTTCCTTTCTTTCCCTTCTTTTTCCTTCCCCTTCATTTCCTTTCCCTCCCTCCTTCCCTTTCTTCTTTCCCCCTTCTCCTCCCTCTCCTTTTCCTCCCTTCCTTCTTCCTTTCTTCCTTCTCCTTCTTCCTTCCTTCCTTACTTCCTTCCTTCCTTCCTTCCTTCCTTCCTTCTTCCCTCCTCTCTTTCTTCTCCTCTTTCCCTCCTCCTTTTTTCCTTCCTTCTCCCTTCCTTCCTTCCTTCTTCCCTTTCTTCTATCTATGTAAGATATAAATACAATATTAAATGGGACAGTCAAGAAGTAACGAGAGAAGGAGGGAAAAAGGGAAGGAAGGAAGGAAGGAAGGAAGGAGAGAAGGAGGGAGGGGGAAAAGGAAGGAAGGAAACAAAGATAGAAAAGCAAGGAAGGAGAGAAGGAAATAAAAAAGTGAAAGGAAAAAGAGAGGGAAGGAAGGAGAGAAGGAACGAAAGATAGCGAAGGAAGGAAGAAAGGGAGGAAGAATGTAACCAAAGAGCAAAGAAAGGGAGGAAAGAAACAGGTAGAGATGGAAGAAAGAAGAGAAATAGGGAAAGAAAAAGAGGAAAGGAAGGAAAGAGGGAGGGAAGGAGAGAAAGAGGGAGGGAAGGTTGGCCACAGCAACGCGTGGCGGGTACAGCTAGTGCACAAAGAAACAGCTTGTTTACTATTTGACAAGGCGCTTGTGGTCAATACTAACCATAATCTTCCATTTAGGTTAAGGATAAAGCATGGCAATGACTGGGCAACGATAGGAGCAGCTCTTGGAAGAAGTGCTTCTTCAGTAAAAGACCGATGCAGGCTGATGAAGGACACCTGCAATACAGGTATAAATACTACAATAATTGACAAAGGGAAAAAATCAAGCTAAGTCTTGGTATGCTGGTATTTTTCTCAGTTGAAATAGTTTCATTGGCATATAGATTGGCTTTCAATAATAGATATTTAAATTTCAGCGCCATACCGCATATTATTTGTCATAGAAGTTTTGCATTAAGGTGATAAAACTTCTTATAAACGATCATTATCCTTTTAATAATATTAATCTATCTAAATAAAAATGTAATGTTCGTTTGTGGGATTAACAGAACTCAAAAACCACTGGGGGAATTGACACCAAATTTGGACAGCATACACCTAACAATCCAATGTATGTCCTTCACTCAAAATTTTTTGATTTTGTCATTTGGGAGTTGTAGTTGCTGGGATTTATAGTTCACCTACAATCAAAGAGCATTCTGAACTCCACCAATGATGGAATTGAACCAAACGTGGCACATAGGACTCCCATGACCAACAGAAAACACTAGAAGGGTTTGGTGGGCATTGACCTTGAGTTTGGGAGTTGTAGTTCACCTACATCCAGAGAGCACTGTGGACTCAAACAATGATGGATCTGGACCAAACTTGGCACAAATCTTCCATATGCCCAAATATGAACACAGATGGAGTTTGTGGAAAAGACCTTGACATTTGGGAGTTGTAGTTACTGGGATTTATAGTTCACCTACAATCAAAGAGCATGCTGAACCCCACCAACAATAGAATTGGGCCAAACTTCCCACACAGAACCCCCATACTTAAGGCCATCCAGTCCAACTCCCTTCACCAGGGCAAGAAAATGTAATCAAAGCCCTCCTGACAAAGAGCCATCCAGCCATAGATAGATAGATAGATAGATAGATAGATAGATAGATAGATAGATAGATAGATTCATAGGAAGATAGATGGAGACACACACAGATATAGTATCATAGATTTGAAAGGGACCCCTAAAGAAGGACAATGATAATGTTGCATGTTCCAAGGTGGGCAAACTGACAAAGAAACAGCAAGAATGACAAAGAAACAGCAAAAAATACTGTTTACCCACAAGCAGAAAGACATTACGTATATTTGAAACGAATATTTTCTCATTACATTATTTTCCAGATTACCAGACCGGGCCACAGCAACTCGTGGCAGGGGATGGCTAGTAGTAGTAGTAGTAATAATAATAATAATAATAATAATAATAATAATAATAATAACGTTATTTATACCCCGCTACCATCTCCCCAAGGGGACTCGGAGCAGCTTACATGAGGCCAAGCCCAACAACACATCAAACAACAAGCAATAAGCAAATAAAACAATACAATTAGTATAACTCAACATATAGACAATAACACGCAAGGGTTTAAAAACCTATGGCCAGGTCAGATGTAATAGTTTAAAATTTTAAAAATAAATGCTGGGCATGAACAGAGGTATGTAGGATGTATCTAGTAGGAGGGTTTACCAGCTGTTAGGATTTCTGGGAGTTGAAGGCCAAAACATCTGGGGACCCACAGGTTGAGAACCACTGGGCTAGAGAGACAAATCCTGACACATCTTTGCTCTCTTCTGTCTACTAGCCGCAGGATGGCCAAGATGTGTGGAATGTCTGCCTCAATTCAATGGAAAGATCATGGGTGTTGGGTAGTCAGCTATAGCCTAGTTTTACATGCAGAACTACTATGCTACACTGTGTAATTAACAGTTCTTGCCTTCTTGTGCTTGTAAATCATACAAGTATGTCTAAAAGTGAGTGAAATTGTATCTCATGATGCAGGGAACATCTGACACGCCCTATGTCTCAGACTTATTGGAATTTATATTTGCTCTCACAGCTTCTCTTGGCTAGCTTGGGACAGGTCAGAGTTGTTTCAAACTTGTAAAGGCAGAAAAAAGGCTGAAGGAAAAATAAATACAGTGGGCTCGTGATATCTGCAGGGCATTAGTCCCAGGATCTTCCATGGACACCAAAATTCATGGATGCTGAAGACCCACTATATACAGTAGTCTAGCAAAATGATGTCTCATATAAAATTGCAAAATCAATGCTTGTTTTTACGAATTAAAGAAAACATTTTCAAGCCATTAATCGTTGAATTTAGGGGCCAATTCCAAATAGTGTTGCCTTTAGTTTAACTTGTTCCATGACCAAGCTCTTAACTTATTTATTTACTTATTTAGAGCTTTTATATACCAGTCTTCTCACCTTCAGCAAGGGACTCAGGCCGGTTTACAACAAAGGAATTCATACACAATAGTTTAAAAACATCACATCCAATAATACACTAATATAAACACATTAAAGTACTATCATATAATTATATAAGGCCAAATCATTAACATAAAATTACTATTCATCCCCATCCGTCCATGTGGTCAAGAGTTATTGCCTCACTTATCAAATGCCAAATTCCAGAGCCAGGTTTTCACCAACTTTCTAAAGGTCAGGAGGGAAGGGGCAGTTCTAATCTCCAATGGGAGAGAGTTCCAGAGCCGAGGTACCACCACCGAGAAGGCCCTGTCCCTCGTCCCCACCAGACGCGATTGCGAGGGTGGTGGGACCGAGAGCAGGGCCCCTCCAGACGATCTTAACAATCTTGATGGTTCATAGGGGAGAATCCACTTGGGCAGTGGTTCCAAGATGACTTCCGCTAGTTCCTTCAATGCTCTTGGGTGTAGTTGATTTGGCCCTGGGGACTTGAACTCATTTAGAGCGGCCAGGTATTCCTGGACAACTTGTTTCCCAATTTGAGGTTGGATCTCCTCTAATCCCTCATCCACTCCATCTTGCTGTGGTTAAAGGTTACTTTCTTTTTGTGAGAAGTCCGAGGCAAAGAAGGCATTAAGCAGTTCTGCCTTTTCCCTATCCCCTGTCAGTATTGCCCCATCTTCTCCCCGAAGAGGCCCTATCACCTCCTTGATCTTCCCTTTTCTACTGACATAAGAAAAGAAGCCCTTTTTGTTGTTTTTAATGTCCCTGGCAAGCCTGAGCTCATTTTGTGCTTTAGCCTTGCGGACCTTTTCCCTACAGGTGTTGGCTATTTGTTTGAATTCTTCTTTGGTGATTTCTCCCTTTTTCCACTTCTTGTGCATGTCTCTTTTGGGTCTTAGCACAGTTAGAAGTTCTTTGGACATCCCTAACCTTTTCCTTCCTTCCTTTCTTTAATTCCAGGCAAATGGACAGAAGAAGAAGAAAAGAGGCTTGCCGAAGTGGTACATGAATTAACTAGTACGGAACCTGGTGACATTGTCACACAAGGCGTATCCTGGGCTGCTGTGGCAGAACGAGTTGGGACACGGTCTGAAAAGCAGTGCCGCTCTAAATGGCTCAACTATCTAAACTGGAAACAAAGTGGGGGCACTGAATGGACTAAGGAGGATGAAATAAACCTGATCCTTAGGTTTGTGCTCCCTTTCTAGAAAACAATTTGTATTTAAATGGAGAGGTGGACTTGAAAGTATCCCTTACTTTAGATTTTCAGTGATTGTAATATTTCTGAAAATTCTCCCCCCAAAAGCTACCGTGTTTTGGTGTTTTGATTCTCAGATGATTCATAGATTGGCTAATTGGTTTACAGATTGAATTTTAGATCTTACATAATGTTATCAGGGTAAATATCCACTGAGAAGGTACATCAGAAGTGGATACATGAAAACCACAGTCCACTTAATGCTCGAACAATTAATCAGTGATGCTCTGAGAGTAATTCTAGGAGTTTCAGTCCAGAAAAAGTAGTCTTTCCCACTTCAGCCTGTTAGTAGGTTGCAGTCCTGAGTATTGAGTAGCTCATTCATGAGATCTTGTCCACGCTGACAGGGTATGTCTCCTTTCCTAACCACTAGCAGTCCTTCTTGTTATTAGTTGCACATTGATGTGCCCCAAATAGCATAGCTTTTCGGTCTTACAGACCAATGCGAACAAGAGCAATGTGACATTCCTTCTGAATAATCAACCAAAAATGGGATAAATTCCTGAAATCTTTTTTCAACTTACTGAATAATTTAGGATTGATAAATCCATTACAATTAAAATAGGAAAAGTTTTGGACTTCACTTTTTTCCTCCCATGAAGGTATCAATCCCATTCCAGAAAATACTATAAGGGGGCTTATACCAAAAATGGGGATTCTACCCAAAACTATAATCCTATATCACTAGGATTAATGATATAGAATAGGAGCCCCCAGTGGCGCAATGGGTTAAACCCTTGTGCCAGCAGTACTGAAGACCGACAGGTTGGAGGTTCAAATCCGAGGAGAGCACAGATGAGCTCCCTCTGTCAGTTCCAGATCCCCATACGGGGACATGAGAGAAGCTTCCCACAAGGATGGTAAAACATCAAACATCCAGGCATCCCATGGGCAATATCCAGGTAAACCATCAATTCTCTCACACCAGAAACGACTTATAGTTTCTCAAGTCGCTCCTGGCGCGCGCACACACACAAAAATTGATATAGGATTATGATCCAACATAATTTTGGATAAATCCTCTTTTCATTGGAGGCTGAATGGAACGATGCTGTGAAGTGACATATTCCTTAAAAAAAAGCCAAGAGATAAGTTTTTTGAAGACAACAAAGCCAATGTGCAGCAGCCAGACTAATAACTGGGGCAAATTACAGGGAACGGTCAACTCTCCTTAGAGCTTCACCGGCTGCCGTTTGTCTTCCGGTCCCAATTCAAGGTGCAGGTTATCACCTACAAAGCCCTAAATGGGTTGGGACCCGTCTACCTTCATGACTGGATCACCTCTCCATGAACCAGCCTGAGGTCTTAGATCCTTGGGGGAGGCTCTCAATTCGCCCCTGCCATTATCACAGGCTCATCTTGTAAGCACAAAGTAGCAAGCCTTCTCCTCTGTGGCCTCCCGACTCTGGAACTCATTGCCCGGTTTGATTACGAAGGCCTCCACCTTAGAAACTTTCAAGAGGGATCTCAAAACCTGGCTTTTCCAATGGGCTTTTGGAGAGTAGCCATACGATCATACACAGTTGCTCCCCCTCAACTTTTTTTTTGTCCCGAGAATATATTTCCCCACCTTATGAAGGTCTATTTTTATGACCCCGTTCCCTTATGAGTTTCTCCCTCACAAACAATCTGTTCCATTCCTATCTCATCCTGATTTTTAGTATTTTAAACATTTTAGTATTTTATCTTGCACATGCGGCCCGCTCATAGTTATTTTATTGTGTATGATTTTGTTATATTGTTTTTTGTACTCATATGTTGTATTATTTTACTGGGTTGTTATTGTGTTTTGGTTTTATTTTATTGTAATATGGTCACCTCCAGATTGGACTACTGCAATGCGCTCTACGTGGGGCTGCCCTTGAAAACGGCTCGGAAGTTCCAACTGGTCCAACGATCAGCAGCCAGGATGTTAACTGGGGCCCCTTACAGAGAGAGGTCAACCCTCCTGTTCAAGGAGCTCCACTGGCTGCCGTTTATTTTCCGAGCCCAATTTAAGGTGCAGGTGCTTACCTACAAAGCCCTGAATGGTTTGGGACCATCCTACCTGCGTGACCGCATCTCCGTCTACGAACCCATGCGTTCACTTCGGTCATCTGGAGAGGCCCTGCTCGTGATCCCGCCTGCGTCGCAAGCGCGTTTGGTGGGGACACGAGACAGGGCCTTTTCTGTGGTGGCCCCCCGACTCTGGAACACCCTCCCCAAAGATCTTAGACAGGCCCCTACATTGGCAGTCTTCAGAAAGAACTTGAAGACCTGGCTGTTCTGATGTGCCTTCCCAGATTAGGAAATCTCCAATACCAAGTCCCAGAAGCACTTTATTAGAACTAAGATTGCTGCACATCGCACTCTGCACTTGCCCTATAAGCCTTATATACCACCTGTCACATCAGCACTTTTAATCCTGTACCCATTACCCTGGCCCGGTCCAGTTCTATTGTGTTTTAGTGTATTGTTTATTGCTTGTTGTTTATATTGCTTTAATTGTTTTTAATTTGCCTTATGTTTTGTATTCTTATATTGTGTGTTGAGGCCTTGGCCCTTGTAAGCCGCATCGAGTCCTTCGGGAGATGCTAACGGGGTACAAATAAAGTTTAATAATAATAATAATAATAATAATAATAATAATATGCTGTTGGGCTTGGCCTCATGTAAGCCGCCCTGAGTCCCCACTGGGGAGATGGAGATGGGGTATTAAATAAAGATTATTATGGGTTGTTGTAGGTTTTTTCGGGCTATATGGCCATGGTCTAGAGGCATTTTTTTCCTGACGTTTCGCCTGCATCTATGGCAAGCATCCTCAGAGGTAGTGAGGTCTGTTGGAAGTAGGAAAATGGGTTTATATATCTGTGGAATGACCAGGATGGGACAAAGGACTTTTTGTCTGCTGGAGTTAGGTGCGAATGTTTTAACTGTCAATTGAAACATTCACACCTAGCTCCAACAGACAATAGTCCTTTGTCCCACCCTGGTCATTCCACAGATATATAAACCCATTTTCCTAGTTCCAACAGACCTCACTACCTCTGAGGATGCTTTCCATAGATGCAGGTGAAACGTCAGGAGAGAATGCCTCTAGAACATGGCTATATAGCCCGAAAAAACCTACAACAACCCAGTGATTATGGCCATGAAAGCCTTCGACAAAATATTATTATTATTATTATTATTATTATTGGCAAGGGGACTCAAATGAGAATAGTGTGGGATAGGGATACTAGGAAGCCCTACAAGGAAGGCTTTTTCATTCAATGCAATAATGTACATTCCTTCTGAACAAGATGGATCTGCTAACATCCTACTTTCTCTCCTCTGTAATCCTGCCAGAATAGCAGAGCTAGAAGTGTTTGATGAAAATGATATCAATTGGGACCTGCTGGCTGAAGGCTGGAGCAGCGTGCGTTCCCCACAGTGGCTTCGCAGTAAATGGTGGACAATCAAGAGGCAGATTGCAAACCACAAAGAGGTTTCATTTCCTGGTAAAGTCTTAAGGGGGTTAATATGTTGTAATTCTCAGAAGCTTTGAGTAGTTTGTTTAACATCTCTGTGCATTAAGGTCCATATTCACAGTTTATATCCTGATGTTTTCAAACCAGAACATCTTTTAAAACTGCCAGACCTGAGGCAAGGGTATTCTATGACTTTTTACCTATTGCACATTGCATTGTGGTTTAATTCAGAGTGATTTGGAAATAGGGATAACTCTTCCATATGGGCATGTTGGTCCTATCCTCAGACTAAAGGAACACTTTCATTTCGGCTTTTCTGGAGTCGTGCTTCGCCTGTATTGTACTTCCTATATTTGCTGGGCAAAAAAGAAAAAGTGTTAGTTTTTCTTTACGTTGTCTGAAGAGGGAATTATTTCTTCAGACAAAGCACACTAAAACAGTGTATAATTCACTACCACAAGGCTGTCAGTGACAATCAGTCATTGTCATTATGTGCCATCAAACTGATGTGGCATGGCAGCTCTATCATAGAGTCTTTTAGGTAATTTTTTTAGAAGGGTTTTGCCATTGTTTTCTTCTCAGGATCAGAGAGTCAACAAATGGCTTTCCATGCTTAAGGTCAACAAAGGGATGTTTCCTGACTGTGAGAGCCGTTCAGCAGTGGAACTCTCTGCCCTGGAGTGTGATGGAGGCTCCTTCTTTGGAAGCTTTTAAAGAGGCTGGATGGCCATCTGTCAGGGGTGATTTGAATGCAATATTCCTGCTTCTTGGCAGGGGGTTGGACTGGATGGCCCATGAGGTCTCTTCCAACTCTTTGATTCTATGATTCTATGAAATGGCTTTCCATGGCTGAGCAGAGATTCGGATCCTGGTCTCCTGCAATTTTAGGCCAATATTCAAACTGCTACACCACCTACCCCACTCCACTATGATGGCTACTGGCCATAATGGTTGTTTGTCCCTTCCAGGATCAGAGGCAGAACATCTCAGGATCTCAGCATATTGGGAAATAGTGGTGGAATGGTGCAGTTTCCCTTACACCCTGCTTGTGTATTTATTCTTATTTATCCTGGCCTTGGAAAACAGTTTTGTTCAGTCTTATTTGACAGAGCTGGGACTGAACAAAAACTGTTTTCCAAGGCCAGCTAGTAAATTTATTGCAGAGATGTGTCTCTTAACTATTCTCTTCCACTTCATGTAATGGGAGAGAGAGCAGTAGAGAAGCACGATAAAGTATAGACAAGGGGTGTTGTAAATAACCCACACAGTTATACACTGTTATTCTTCTATCTAATTAGTGAAGTTCCCTTCCAAAATTCATTCATTCATTCATTCATTCATTCATTCATTATTTGTTCATCTATGTTCGTTTGTGGGATTAACAGAACTCAAAAACCACTGGGCAAATTGACACCAAATTTGGACCCAATACACCTCTCAGGCCAATGAGTGACTATCACCCATAAAACCCCTGAAAAAGACAGTTGAAGAGACTTAAAAAGCCAAAATTAAAAATTCATTACAACTCATGCACAAAGCAACATATATATATATATACACACACACATACATACATACATACATACATACATACACACACACACACACACACATACACATACACACACACACACATACACACACACACAAAACATATACACTGACTGGGCCACAGCAACACGTGGCAGAGGACTGCTAGTTGTGTGTGTGTGTGTGTGTGTGTGTATACAATGCGGACTTGGCGAACGTTGGTCATTAGATTGACTTTTATTAACTGTTATTGTATAATTGGACTGTTTTTAACTATTTATAATTGTTGTTTTGTATTTTATCTGACTATGTATATTGCTAGCAACGAATTGTGCCTTTTTGTAAGCTGCCCTGAGTCCCCCTTCGGGGGTTGAGAAGAGCGGGGTGGAAGTGCTCGAAATTAATAATAATAATAATAATAATAATAATAATAATAATAATAATAATAAAGTATTTAAACAGAAAAATGAATTGTGATTTTTAACTGTGACCTTACATTGTGGGACAGGGAAATAAATTGTGAAGATGACTTTATAATGCAGGTTTTCTCTTTATTCGTATATTTTCAATATGTTTGTTTGTTTTTTAGTTCTCATAAAAGGTCTGAAACAGCTTAATGAAAGCCAAAAAAACACTCCAGGGCACCAGCTTTCAGAAAATAAATCCTTGCCAAGCAATCATTCTGGTTCTGGAGTTCAGCACCTGCAGATTCGAGTGGCCCGTCTGGATGAGAATTCAAGCCATTCCCAAGGGTCCATGGCAGCATTACAGATTCCAGTCCAGATTACCCATGTCTGTAAGTGGCTGAAATTCATGTCTTGTTTCTCCACAATCACCCTTCTTACAATCAAGGGACTCCCTGGCATCTAGAAATTCGAGCATCTGCATTTGGGAGTAGCTGGAAGGTGGCTTCTTCCATGAGCATGTATGTTTCCTCTGTTGTGCACACAGATTATGCATTATAAAATTGTGGAGCCAGGGTGGTTTGAGAATTGAGAACTCTGGAGAATACAGTTGAATCCTCACTCAGCCATGAAAACCCACTGGGTGACACTTTGAACAAGTGACACACTCTTAGCCTCTGGAAACCCAGTCTTTGGGTTGCCATAAATCAAAAACAACTTCAAGGCACACAACAACACCAAGAAGAATCCCATTCAAGGTGTATTGTGGTGGAATTATGCACATTTTTTCAGTGATGATGCCAATATTCATCAGTGGCAGCCAAATGTTTGATTTATTTACAAGAGTGTGGCCCCCAAAGTTCTATTTGTGGGCTCATGTAGCCTTCTAGCTGCTCACTGTTGCCCACCTCTGACATAAGAACCCACACATCTATTTTCAAACCCACATGATCTCTTCGATCTTTCGGAGAGGCTCTTCTCTCGCTCCTGCCCGCATCACAAGTGCGACTTTTGGGGACGAGAAAGAAGGCCTTCTCTGTGGTGGCCCCTCGGCTCTGGAACTCGCTCCCCATAGATATTAAGCAAGCCCCTACGCTGGCAGTCTTCAGGAGGAATCTGAAAACCTGCTTATTCCAATATGCCTTCAGTGATTGAACGTAAGATACTCCCTGACCATTTTTTTTTCACAAAATGACCTCAATAGCACTTTATCTTATGGTTCATGCAATTAAATCCCTCCTCATCCCAGATCTTCCTACCAATGTTTGACATTGTCCTATCTCCCAGTGCTTTAAAATTTTTATCCTGAATTTGGCCCTGCCCAGCAAAATCTTTTTTGTTTTAATGTCTGATTTTATACTGTTGTGTTGCTTATTACATTGTTTTGCATTTCATGTATTTTATTTTTTTGGTTTTTTTACATTTTTGTGTTGTATTGTGATGTATTGTACTGATGGGCGTGGCCTCATGTAAGCCGCACCGAGTCCTCTTGGGGGAGATGGAGCGGGGTATAAATAAAGTATTATTATTATTATTATTTATTTATTTATTATTTATTTATTTATTTATTTACTGCACTTGTAGACCGCCGTTCTCAGCCCTAGGGCGACTCACGGCGGTGTACAACATATAAAAACAAATTACAATATAGGCAATATCACAAACAACAATAACAACATCACTATCAATAATACAATGACACTAAATCATTCGCGACGTCTCATCATAGAATCACAATCCAATCTCGTTATCCATGTTCCGTTCCAATCATCATTGCCAATTGTTGTAGCACTTAATCAAACGCCTTCTCAAACAACCACGTCTTTAGTCTCTTGCGGAATGTCATAAGGGAGGGCGCCTGTCTGATGTCTACAGGGAGGGTGTTCCACAGCCGGGGGGCCACCACCGAGAAGGCCCTATCCCTCGTCCCCGCCAGGCGTGCCTGTGAGGCAGGCGGGATCGAGAGAAGGGCCTCCCCAGACAATCTCAAAGTCCTCGTGGGCTCATAGGCCGAGATGCGGTCAGACAGGTATTTTGGGCCGGAACCGTTTAGGGCTTTGTAGGCCAACACCATTATTATTATTAAGAGATCAGAAAGACATATAGCGTACACCTCTTCCATATGTGCATACACATACCTGTACTCAGTACCTACACTGTAAGAAGGATTTTGTGTGTTCTGAATTCTCCCAACTTCTAATAAAGTTCTTTTACTGCTGCCACTGGTAAAGGCGATTTCTAGATCATGGCCTCTTATACTGTGGGTCCCCTTAGCTCAATCAATGTTGGGCAAGAATAAAAGTCTGAATGTCACCTTGATACTAACACCAATCTGTTAGCAACAAGTTGTGGTGTTTACTCTGAAGAAAATGCTTCAGCTTGTCTCCATAAAAAGGAAAATCATCCTGATTTCTTACCATTAATGTTTTATTTTTATACTTATTTTATCTATCTATATACCTGGGATCACATGAAAATTCCTCGGGTGGAAAGGGGTCATAAGTGGGAAGCGTAGTCCAGCAGCATATATCGTTCAATTCTACTTTATGTTCTATCACTTCAATATTTAAAAGATGTTTTAAAACCTATCAATGTGTATTTTCCCTTTCATTCCCATAGCTTCTGCTGACTCCCCTGCGGCTTCGGTTGACTCTGAGACAATAACGCTAAATAGTGGGACACTACAGACCTTTGAGATTCTGCCAGTAGGTACCATAAAACCAGCATAATTGTACCATACTTCTCTACTTCTTTGACTTGAAACCAGGATTTTAAAAATGACATCATCCAGAAATAGGATGTTGTGGGAGGGGATTGTCTCAACTGGAGACATCAGCTATTCTCTTCCTTTAAAAATTCGTTAAGAACCAATTGTGGCAAGTTCTTGGTGGTATTTACATACCAAATCACCTTGTCGCTCTCCTGAGAAATGTGTATAAGGACCAAGTAGCAACAGTAAGAACTGACCATGGAACAACAGACTGGTTCAAGATTGGGAAAGGCGTATTTATTTATTTTGCGTATTTCTACCCCGCCCTTCTCAACCCCCGAGGGGGGACTCAGGGTGGCTTACAAAAGGCACAATTCCATGCCTACACAAACAATAAAAATAAAACATATATAAACAGCAATTAAAACTATTTTAAACAATTAAAACAATCAATTATACATCACAATCAATAAAATCAATCTTCTTCTTCCCTTCTTACTCTCCCTCCCCTTTCCCAACCCCTATATTATTTTTTGAATACACAACATGCTGTTGATTAAATACCTTTAGATGTATCCCTTTAAAAACCTTAATAAAATTCCAAAAAAAAAAAAACAAGAGAAGAGAAGAGAAGAGAAGAGAAGAGAAGAGAAGAGAAGAGAAGAGAAGAGAAGAGAAGAGAAGAGAAGAGAAGAGGGCCATGATAGCACAGCTGGTTAAACTGCTAGCTTTAGAAAATCTGCTGACCGGAAGGTCGGCAGTTCGAAATCACGAGTCTGGGTGAGCTCCCAATTGTCAGCCCAGCTTCTGCCAACCTAGCAGTTTGAAAGCATTCAATGCAAGTAGATCAATAGGTACTGCCTTGGTGGGAAGGTAAATGGGCATCCCATGCAGATATAGACATGCCGGCAACACAATTGGAGATATGTATGAACAACAGGCTCCTCGGCATGGAAAAATGGAACAAGAGCACCTTCCCATGGCTGGAGTTGAACATCGCCTCCAGACACCAGAGATGGAAAAAGGAGGAGGCATTTATCTTTGACTATGTTGTATGTTATTGCTTACTGTGTGTAAAAGGGATTAAGTGTTTTCCTTATATGTGTACGAGGGGTATTTTTTAATAAGGTCCGTTTTGTTGTAGACACTAGTAGTTCACGCGTATATCGCAACGAGCGCGTGCGTCGTGTACTGGCATGCCTCGGGAACAACTGTGCTCAGTTTCCACTCTGTAGCTAACCTGTACGGTTCTGTTCTGTGCTTTAAAAATGTTTAAGACTATCAACTCACCCTCCGCATGTGAGGTTCGCTCAGTGATACGGTTTTTGTCAGCAAGGAACCTGCCTGCTGCAGAAATTCATCGACAGATTTGTGAAGTGTACGGTGATACTGTTATGAGTGAAAGCAAAGTGCGTAAGTGGGTACGACAATTCAAAGATGGCCGTGACAACGTCCATGATGAGGACCGCTCCGGTCGCCCTTCTTTGATTACAGATGATTTGGTGGCTTCAGTTGAAGCGAGGATTCGTGAGAACAGGCGCTTCACAATAACAGGTCTCTCAAACGAATTTCCTGACGTGTCAAGATCAGTGCTTTACAACATTGTTTCTGAACACCTAAAGTTTAGGAAACTGTGCTCCCGTTGGGTCCCGAAACTCCTAACAGAGGACCACAAAAACCAAAGATTTGAGTGTGCGATCAAATCAAATCGTCTGTAATCAAAGAAGGGCGACCGGAGCGGTCCTCATCATGGACGTTGTCACGGCCATCTTTGAATTGTCGTACTCACTTACGCACTTTGCTTTCACTCATAACAGTATCACCGTACACTTCACAAATCTGTCGATGAATTTCTGCAGCAGGCAGGTTCCTTGCTGACAAAAACCGTATCACTGAGCGAACCTCACATGCGGCGGGTGAGTTGATAGTCTTAAACATTTTTAAAGCACAGAACAGAACCGTACAGGTTAGCTACAGAGCGGAAACTGAGCACAGTTGTTCCCGAGGCATGCTGGTACACGACGCACGAGCTCGTTGCGGTATGCACGCGAACTACTAGTGTCTACAACAAAACGGACCTTACTTTAAAAAAAATACCCCTCGTATATTATAAGTCCGCTCTGAGTCTTTCCAGGAGATAAAGCGGAATATAAATAAAGTGCATTATTACATTGTACAACCTGGAGTGGTCTATGGAGGGGAAAGACATGGTGATAGCAGTGTGGCAGTTACTCTATAATTTCCAAGATTTTAACAGAGGATTTCAATTATCCTATATTTAGAAAAGGGATTCCTGAGTACTTCTAGATCAGTGGTTCCCAACCTTTGTTTTGACAAGGGACCAGTTGAACAGGGATCCCTTTGACCATGGACAACTCTCCAACATTATTACCAAAAGGGTTATGAATCAGTTTTTGGTCAACTTCAAATTCAATTTGGTTATTTGGGGTGCCGATTCAGAATATTACATTGGATAGGCCAAATCAGCTCTAGTTTCCAATACAGAACATATGCCATCCAGTAGTCGCCATCTACTCGCCCACAGAAAACCATATTTAATAATGTAGAGCTGATGTGGTAGTAGTAATCTCTGTTGCTTTGGCACTATAAGAGGGTTTTGCGAGACTAGTCGCTCTCATTGCCACATGGTTTCAAGGTAACAGTGTAGTAATGGTGAGGCCGCGGACCATATTTTTGTTCTTGTGGACCACAAGTTGGGAACCAGTGTTCTAGATAGACATTGCCACAATGTTCTTGGTGAAGTCTCTCTGTTGAGTTCATTGTGTTGATCTCATTTTCTCTTGTGCCAGTCTTTTCATCTGCAGCCCACTGGAACGCCAGGGACTTACTTACTCCAAACAAGCGCCAACCAGGGCCTGCCTTTGACACTCACTACTAGTCCAACAGTGACCCTCACAGCTGCCGCTGCACCAGCCTCCCCAGACCAGATTATCGTTCATGCCTTATCCGTATGTATCTATAAAAGGGAAATGGGGGGGAGGGGGAAGAGATGGTGGGCAGGGAAGTTTTATAAATCAATATTTTTAAAAAATAATCTTTATTTAATCTAAAAAAAACTTGATTATAGTAAAATAGCAAAGAGCTTTAGATTAAATATAAGGATAAAGATGTAGATTGGTTAAAGTTGAAAGTGTAGAGTAAAAGAGGGTTCCGTCCTGGGCCCGGTCCTGTTCAACATCTTTATTAATGACGTAGATGAAGGGTTAGAAGGCATGATCATCAAGTTTGCAGACGACACCAAATTGGGAGGGATAGCCAATACTCCAGAGGACAGGAGCAGGATTCAAAACGATCTTGACAGATTAGAGAGATGGGCCAAAACTAACAAAATGAAGTTCAACAGTGACAAATGCAAGATACTCCACTTTGGCAGGAAAAACGAAATGCAAAGATACAGAATGGGGGATGCCTGGCTCGAGAGCAGTACGTGTGAAAAAGATCTTGGAGTCCTCGTGGACAACAAGTTAAACATGAGCCAACAATGTGATATGGCGGCAAAAAAAGCCAATGGGATTTTGGCCTGCATCAATAGGAGCATAGTGTCTAGATCTAGGGAAGTAATGCTACCCCTCTATTCCGCTTTGGTTAGACCACACCTGGAATATTGTGTCCAATTCTGGGCACCACAATTCAAGAGAGAGATTGACAAGCTGGAATGTGTCCAGAGGAGGGCGACTCAAATGATCAAGGGTCTGGAGAACAAGCCCTATGAGGAGCGGCTTAAGGAGCTGGGCATGTTTAGCCTGAAGAAGAGAAGGCTGAGAGGAGACATGTTAGCCATGTATAAAGTGAGAGGAATCCACAGGGAGGGAGCAAGCTTGTTTTCTGCTTCCTTGGAGACTAGGACGTGGAACAATGGCTTCAAACTACAAGAGAGGAGATTCCATCTGAACATGAGGAAGAACTTCCTGACTGTGAGAGCCGTTCAGCAGTGGAACTCTGTCCCGGAGTGTGGTGGAGGCTCCTTCTTTGGAAGCTTTTAAACAGAGGCTGGATGGCCATCTGTCAGGGGTGATTTGAATGCAATATTCCTGCTTCTTGGCAGGGGGTTGGACTGGATGGCCCATGAGGTCTCTTCCAACTCTTTGATTCTATGATTCTATATATAAAATATATTATAATATTGCATTATAATTATTAGTTTTATATTGTATTAGATTATAACATTATAAATATTATATGTATATACAATATTTATATTATATTATAAACATAGCACAGGAGACAAGGTGGAAATGTCTTCCTGGTCCCCTCTCTCTTCACTCTGGACTAGACCATGGGTTGGTGCTGTGGGGAGGGGCTCCCAGCTGATGACATAGTCAGGGGACACGGTGGAAATGTCTTCCTGGTCCCCACTCTCTTCATATTTCCTTTCACATTCCTCTTTTCCCTTTGTTCCTGTCCCATATAGTTGTTCATCAAAATAATTCTAGTAAGCAATCCACTTCCACCACCACCACTCCCCCCCCCCTCACTTAAGGTTATTCAATCCATCAAAACACAATGACCCATCTGTTCACATCCAGACTTTCAGGATGAATGTTGTGTAAGCTCTTCTTCTTTTTCTCAGTTGACAGTAGCTGCTGAACTTTGTGAGCCTAAAGAGTTGTCGGCAGGAATTACAAGGCAGCTGCATATCTGTGCCCGAAACTTACAAATTCTTACTAAAGATTTGTGACTGTATTTCTAGTATTTCTATACTAGCTTAGGTCCCTGGGAATGCCCAAATTGGGTGTTTTATAAAGATAAACATTAGAAATAGTCATTGTTTGGTTTTGGATTTTATAAATAGGTCAATTAGTAAGTGCATATGAATTTGGGTGAACTGCAACTCTCATCAACCTGGATCAAGTCCCCCACCCCCCAAATCCCACCAGTATTTAAAGTTGGTCATGTTGGGTATGTGTATCAGTTTTGTCCAGTTCCATCATCAGTGTGGTTCACATGCACTTCGGAGATGAGTAAACTATAGCTTCCATCGTCCTTTATCATTGCCTTCAAACATAGCCACTATGGAGAATACGTGTGCCACTGCTCTCTGGATGTGGGAGCCATCTTGAAAAATACATACAAAGAGAGATAGAAAGATATTGAATTTTATTTATAGAGATTACTAGCTGCCCCCCTGCCACACGTTGCTGTGGCCCAGTCTGGTCATCTGGAATATAAAGTAATAAGTGTTCGTTTCTAATATATGTAATTTCTTTCTGCTTGTGGGTAAACAGTATTTCTTGCTGTTTCTTTGTCAGTGTTGATGTAGAAATTGTCTGGTTTGCCTGCTCTGGAACACGCAACACATAATTGTCCTTCTTTAGGGGTCCCTTTCAAATCTATGATACTATATCTGTGTGTGTGTGAATCATATATATCTATCTATAATTATGGCTGGATGGCTCTTTGTCAGGAGGGCTTTGATTACGTTTTCTTGCCCTGGTAAAGGAAGTTGGACTGGATGGCCTTAAGTATTTTCTGATGGTCATGGGAGTTCTGTATGGGAAGTTTGCCCCAATTCTGTCATTGGTGGGGTTCAGAATGCTCTGATGTAGGTGAACTATAAATCCCAGTAACTACAACTCCTAAATGTCAAGGTCTATTTTCCCCAAACTCCATCCATGTTCATATTTGGGCAAATGGAATATTCGTGCCAAGTTTGGTCCAGATCCATCATTGTTTGAGTCCACAGTGTCTCTAGYTGTAGGTGAACTACAACTCCCAAACTCAAGGTCAATGCCCACCAAACCCTTTTAGTGTTTTCTGTTGGTCAGGGGAGTCCTGTGTACCAATTCCATCYTTGGTAGAGTTCAGAATGCTCTTTGATTATAGGTGAACTATAAATCCCAGCAACTACTACTCCCAAATYACAAAATCATAATTTTTTGAGTGATGGTCACTCTTTGTGTTGTGAGACATTTTGTTGCCAAATTTGGTGTGATTTCGTTCATTGGTTCTTTTGTTTTTAAGGTACTCATTACGCARGGAGCATTTATAGATAGATAGATAGATAGATAGATAGATAGATAGATAGATAGATAGATAGATAGATAGATAGATAGATAGATATAGCATTTAACTTTTTACTGTAAGCTAAATTTATATGTGGAAATAATCAGATCTCTAAATACRATTTTGTTATGTAGTATATTAACGGGACTTGACTCTCTTTAGACTTTGTGTGGAAATGTGTTGCCTTACAGAATGTGTTTACCTAACTAGTAAAGTTAGCAGTGAAGGGTGATGGGGGTTATACTCTTAATAATGTCTGGTTGAACATAGGTTCCTCACTTCATTCCAGCAAAAGTAAACATATTTGGGCTGCAGGTATAAAATAAATCAAGGTAGAAACTGTAAACACCCCTTGGTAGTTACCTTTTTTCTGGCTATTTCCCACAGCCGGAGCACTTGCTGAACACAAGCGACAACGTCACAGTACAATGCCACGCACCAAGTGTCATAATTCGCACTGTTGCAGCCGAAGAAATACCTTCATCGGTAACCCAGGAGGAACTTACTGTTGATTCAGACATTCAGCCAGTTGACCTAGTGGGCACTCCGACGTCTTTGGAAACAGACACTTTTCCAGATGACATCCATCAATCCAAGTTGGCTGTTGAAGAGCAGGCCACGTATGGCGAAGACAGTGCCTCTAAATTTGGTGACAGAAATAGAACTGAACTCATAGACAGAGTCATGGTGAGCACAGGAGAAGAGATTTTGGGTGCAAGCCTCAAACGGGAAGAGGATTGTCCGTCTGATTTGGCTGGACCATACGTTTCTGAGGTAAGGAAAGCCATAGATGACCATTTAAAACAAGAGATGCACAGTTTAAGATCAGCGCATGTAGCCATTTAAACCTTTTCTGCTTTCAGAGGCTGACCAAGTGTCATATTGTACATATTACACATCTTTAAGTACCTATATTCCGGCATATAAGACTGGGCGTATAAAACAACCCCCAAATTTTCCAATTAAAATATAGAGTTTGGGATATATTCGCCGTATAAGACTACCCCTCTTCCAACGCACACCAAATAAAAATTTAAAAAGCATCAGATTTGATTTCAATATGGTAATTTTCCTATTACTGTACCTCCTTCCCTGCCTCTCAGATCTCGCACATGCGCACCTGCACCACTTCACTGCAGTCTTCCGGAGCGAGATCTGAGAGACAGAGGAGGAGGTACGGTAATAAGATACAAGGGTGGGCCAGACAGGTAAAAGAGGTGTGAAGCGAGACGCAGGCTGATAGAATTTTGCCAGGAAAACTCTGTGTGTGTGTGTGTATGTGTATATGTTGTTGCTGTTCATTTGTTCAGTCGTCTCCGACTTTTCGTGACCTCACGGACCAGCCCACGCCAGAGCTCCATGTCAGCCGTCACCACCCCCAGCTCCTTCAAGGTCAGTCCAGTCACTTCAAGGATGCCATCCATCCATCTTGCCCTTGGTCGGCCCCTCTTCCTTTTACCTTCCACTTTCTCCAGCATAATTGTCTTCTCTAAGCTTTGCTGTCTCCTCATGATGTGGTCAAAGTACTTCAGCTTTGTCTCTAGTATCCTTCCCTCCAGTGAGCAGTCGGGCTTTATCTCCTGGAGGATGGACTGGTTGGATCTTCTCGCAGTCCAAGGCACTTTCAGAACTTTCCTCCAACACCACAGTTCAAAAGCATCTATCTTCCTTCACTCAGCCTTCCCTAAGGTCCAGCTCTCACATCTGTAGGTTACTACAGGGAATACCATGGCTTTGACTATGCTGATCTTTATATATGTGTATATATATACTGTATATTCCAGCATATTAGATGAGTGGGCGTATAAGACGACTCCCAACTTTTCCAGTTAAAATATAGTTTGGATTATTCTCACCGTATAAGACTACCCCTCTTCCAACGCACACCAAATAAAAATTTAAAAAGCATCAGATTTGATTTCAATATGGTAATTTTCCTATTACTGTACCTCCTTCTTTGCCTCTCAGATCTCGCACATGCGCACCTGCACCACTTCACTGCAGTCTTCAGGAGCAAGATCTGAGAGGCAGAGTAGGAGGTACGGTAATAGGATACAAGGACAGGCCAGACAGGTAAAAGAGGTGTGTTTTTCTGGATCCAGAGCCACTCTATCTCTTTTTTCCATACCCCGGGCGCCCCGGACGCCTGCAGCTTGTGGCCATTGTCATTTTTGAGCTCCCCCAACCATATGCGGCAACCACAGATTCCCTAATCCAATTGGAAGTTTCAGCACCCATACTATAAGACAACTCCCGTGTATAATTTGATGCATTTATTAACCGCCATTCTCAGCCCCTATAAGGCTACTCCCGCATATAAGATTATTCCCGTGTATAAGACTACTCCCGCGTATAAGATGACTCCGTGTATAAGACAATCCCTGACTGTTGAGAAGATTTTCTTGGTCTTATACACCAGAATATACGGTATGTACTAAACATATTGTAGCCGTGAATCTGCTAAATTTGTATCATGTATTTGCACATGTCAAGAGAGGGGTAACTAGTGACATCTTGGTTAACTCAGGCTACTAGTCTTCCTTAGCACAAGTAGGAACTTGTGACACTATTACCCTACAGTCCTTCCTGTGGTGTTAAAAACTATATTGGAGCAATCAAGATTATGTGATTCCACAGAATGGGAGAGTCAACCAGAGAAGACTGGTTTTTAATGCATCGTGGTGTTATTGTTACTGTTTATTGCTTTGTTTATGAGTTTATTTATTGTCTGTATTGCTGTTGTTGCTTTTTTAACTGATGTATTTGGGCTCGGCCTCTTGTAAGCTGCACCGAGTCCTTCGGGAGATGGTAGCGGGATATAAATAAAGGTCTATTGTTATTATTATTATTATTATTATTATTATTATTAAGACACAAAGCCTTTTTTAGCCTTGGGAACCTCTGGAGGCCATATAGAATACTTAAAAGCAAAACAAAAAAAATGGGAATGGTTGGAGACTGAATATGTTATTTTTTAATATTAAAGACATCATTTAAACTCAATATAAAACGTGATTTGTTGCTTCTGGAGGCACTAGGAGATCTAGCAGGGTCAAGGGTTGCAGAAACAGCCAGGAGACAGGCCTATATGTGGCCTCACTTTCCCCTTACTTTCAGGTGGTAATTTTTTTCTCCCACTGATATTTGACAAGTGTTTGAAATGAACGGATCTGCCTTATGTCAGGTTTGATTCTCAAACCATATTATTTGAAACCTCATTACAGTTTTGTTGAGACATTATTAGAGCGGTGACATATTTCCTTCAGGGTGAGAGACGTGATGAATGTGTTGGGATCTTTCATTTTTCCATTTCAAATTGCCAAGAAGTTACCTAATACTGCTGTAGTTCAGTTTGTCAAGCTTTACAAATGATACACAAAGCTTACCACAGGGACTGAGTTTCCATCTGCTACTCGCATTAGCTTATTTTCACTCTAATGTTTGAAGCAGATATGGTTTTGATCTGAATCAAGAGATATTTTGTAAATCAACTTCATCTTTCTATTGCCACAGTATGCCAAACCCAACTCCTCTTTGTTTGGTGGAAAGTAAAGAGAGCAGCAGGCAGCCATTTTCCTATAGCTGGATGCATTGGGCGAGACTGATGGTGTCCTTGCTCTTGTATCCCTCCCAAAATGGCCAAGTTTGGAGGGATACTCTGATCACTATATATTCAGTAGAGAATGCTAACCTTAGTGACACCATAAATAGTGAGTTGTGATGGTGTACACCTAACTTACACCTCTGTAATTCAACAACAGGAATTACAGAGGTATAAGGTAACAGGCTACCCGATACTATACATTCTGTGATTATGGTCTTTATTTAAAGCTCATGTCTAGTTAATGCATAGTTGGAAAAAAACTTGATTTTGTCACGACAGGGCCTCAGTTCTCCCACAACAGAAGAACAAGTGGAACAGTCTACCATGGATGATACTGTCCTTATTGTACCTTCTCCCCGTGGCTTTATCCAGACGTCAGATGATATAGACAGCGAATCAGTCTTGCCTTTAACAACACTAACAGGTAACTCGGGTAAATCTAACTTCAACAAGGCACTGCAGATAGGGCCTTCCTAAAACTATTTGTATTGTCCTTTCTTGGAGTGTATTTGTTTGTTTACTTATTTACATTTATATGCCACCCTTCTCACCCCAAAGGGGACTCAGAGCGACTTACAAGATATATATACATACAATATATTATATTAATAGCATAGTACAATATCAGTATTATATCCATCCATCTGCCTCTGGCTTGGCCCGTCTGTCAAATTATAAAATGCAATGGGGTCCCCGTGTCCAAAAGTTTACCCATGCCTGATAGCTATACATTATATATAATAATAATATACAGGGTGCAGGAGCATAACTTCCTTTTTTCAAAACTTAATAAATGATGGCGACTGAACTGTGTCAGGACAAAACTTTATACTCCCGGCTCTCGAACAAGACTACTAGCGCTCCGCTACGTCTTCAACCGACTGAATGGCGCGCATTTTTAAAAAGGAAGTTATGCTGCCTCACCCTGTATAAACATTTTTTGGGGCTCTATGAGAAACTCTTGCTTCAAAGAGGGCTCCGTGGGTGAAACCCCCTGTTCTAGATTAAACCCTCTGAGTTATGGTACCTTTTAGTTTAAAAATTATTACAGTGGCCGAGAAAATAATGATGCCATTCTTTATATGATGATATTATTCTGCTGTGGTTGTCCCCCGACTTTGGAACACCCTCCCCAAAGACATCAGACTAGCACCCATGTTGGCAGTCTTTAGGAAGAGTTTGAAGACCTGGCTATTCCGATGTGCCTTTCCGGAATAGGAAAACTCCAGCATTTATCCCAGAAGCACTTTATTAGAATTTTTAAGATTTTCTGCACATTGCACTTGCCCTGAAATCCAACATACCACCTGTCACACCCAGCACTTTGTAATTCTGTACCCATTACTTGGCCCGGCCCTAGTTTTTACTGTGTAACGGTGAAATGTTTTGTTGTTATTGCTTTATGTTTTTGATTTTGCTTTGAGTTGTTTTGTTGTGCTGTTGTTGTGTTGAGGCCTTGGCCTTTGTAAGCTGCATCGAGTCCTTCGGGAGATGCTAGCGGGGTACAAATAAATTTTACCAATAATAAATAATAATAATAATAATAATAATAATATATTAGCTAGAATTTTTGCAAATTCACAACCATTTCTATATATCCTTCTCATTCCAGATCCTATCTTACAGCACCATGGAGAGAATTCCCATATTATTGGCTCTTCTCTGGATAGTCCTGGTTCTGAAGACTCCAAGGATGTTGAAGATTTAGTTAGCTGCCACTAAACACAAGCCATCGTTTTCTAGTGTGACAGTGATGTCGGGTTAAAGAGCTGCCTGTAACTCCTAGACCACCTCTCCAAAGAAAAAACCTTCAGTCCACTCTCCCTGGCCAGAAAAGTGTGCTGATCTCAAGCTTGAAACACGTTACAGGCACAACTTATCTAAGCCAAGGTTTTTGTCTTTCAGCAGGGTGTTCCCTATCCCTTCTTAGCCTGCTTTGAAAAGCAAACAAATTGGGCAATGAGGGAATTTTGTGCTGTGGACCAACATAGACAGTCTGCAAAGTGGCTTTGTGCACTAACCTTCATGTTTCAGGACAAAGTAATAGTCCGGCAATAACTATGAAAACCAATGAATGGCAATAGAAAAGCTATTTTTTTTTCCAGAACTGTTACTTGAGTGTGTGCAGTATTACATACTGCTCAGTTCACATTTGCAATCTAAATAATCTGTTGCTGGCAATGGATAGTAGATAAAGAATTACAGTACTATAGTTTAAAGACTTCTATTCCTTATGCGAGTCCAGCAAACATAGGAAGAGAAGCTCAAAACTGTGAAAGGCTCACTCCAGGTAAACTTTTGAGAAAGAGAAGTTTGACATTTTAAGTCTCTTGACCATATTTGTTGAGGCTCTTGACAGATACATGATTGAATGCAACAAGGCTATGTAAAAAAAAAAACTATTTATTGCTGTAATTAGCTTCCTGAAGTCAGTTTTGTCTTCAGTCTGTGAGTTTGTTCATGTGAAAACGAATTTGTAGTTAACAAAAATATTGTTTCAGGAGGGAACAGAAATGACTGTGTTCAGTTTCATACAAGTGAGAAACCGATTTGTCTTCTGTAGCAGTAGGATGCCTTTTTATTTATACTGTAGTACAGACATTTGCAGTGCTGCAGTTTTTGTACAGTGTAATAAAAATGCATTTTTTCCCAAAAAGGAGAAAGCTCATGCCGTTCTGAAAAAACAAGTGTACATTTGGAATGTTCATTAAGTGCACTAGGAGTTCTTTTCCCCCGCCCCACCAAAGCAGAGATGGCATGTCATATGGCAATAGTTCACCCCACCACAACCATGGGCTGTGAAAGTATACATCGGCATCAAGACTCAAGTACCCGTTCCACACTTGCGCTGATGAAGCCTTCTTGACTTGGGATCAGTTATCCATCCTGAGAGCGTTTTTCACCACAGTGCCCAGAACCACCTTGGCGCATTCTAGTCCATACTGGATCAGTCATTTCCCTACTTCATGGAAGTAGAGATTGGCACATATACATAACATAACAATAGAGAACAAGCTGTAGTAAATTAGATTCCTAAATTTAGGCTCCAGGTCTCCTTGTCGATACCAGTAGATCTGGGAAAGGAAAAAACACATACAACTGCTTTAAATGAATTTTTCAAGAAGAGGCAAAACTTCATGTACTACCTGAACCCTCCTCCCTCGCGATCCTTTACTGTTGCAAAACAAAAGCCAAGCTGGTGGGCCACTAAGGTCCTTTCTATACTGGTATATAATCCAGATTATCAAATCAGATAATCCACATTATCTGCTTTGAACTGGATGATATGAATCTATACTGCCATATAATCCATCCATCAATCCTGGAACGATTCCATCAGCGCTGCATCTGGAAAATCCTGCAAATCTCTTGGGTAGGCAAGCGGACAAATGTCAACATGCTGGAAGAAGCATTGAAGTGATGATTCTCCGCCATCAACTCCGCTGGACCAGCCATGTTGTCCAAATGCCTGACCACCGTCTCCCAAAGCAGTTGCTCTACTCTGAACTCAAGAACAGAAAACGGAATGTTGGTGGACAGGAAAAGAGATTTAAAGATGGGCTCATAGCCAACCTTAAAAACTCTGGCATAGACACTGAGAACTGGGAAGCCCTGGCCCTTGAGGGCTCTAGCTCAGTGGTTCTCAAACTGGGGTCCCCAGATGTTTTTGGCCTTCAACTCCCAGAAATCCTAACAGCTGGTAAACTGGCTGGGATTTCTGGGAGTATTAGGCAAAAAACATTTGGGGACCCCAGGTTGAGAACCACTCCTCTAGCTGGAGGTCAGCTGTGAACAAGAGCCCCCGGTGGTGCAGTGGGTTAAACCCCTGTGCCAGCAGGACTGAAGACCGACAGGTCGCAGGTTCGAATCCGGGGAAGAGGTGGATGAGCTCCCTCTATCAGGCTCCAGCTCCTCATGCGGGGACATGAGAGAAGCCTCCCACAAGGATGATAAAAACATCAAACCATCCGGGCGTCCCCTGGGCAACATCCTTGCAGACGGCCAATTCTCTCATACCAGAAGCGATGCAGTTTCTCAAGTCGCTCCTGGCATGATAAAAAAAAAAGTTGTGACCAGCAGTGCTGTAGAATTTGAAGAGGCACAAATGGAGGGCGAAAGAGAATCATAGAATCAAAGAGTTGGAAGAGACCTCATGGGCCATCCAGTCCAACCCCCCTGCCAAGAAGCAGGAATATTGCATTCAAATCACCCCTGACAGATGGACATCCAGCCTCTGTTTAAAAGCTTTCAAAGAAGGAGCCTCCACCACACTCCGGGGCAGAGAGTTCCACTGCTGAACGGCTCTCACAGTCAGGAAGTTCTTCCTCATGTTCAGATGGAATCTCCTTTCTTGTAGTTTGAAGCCATTGTTCCGTGTCCTAGTCTCCAAGGAAGCAGAAAACAAGCTTGCTCCCTCCTCCCTGTGGCTTCCTCTCACATATTTATACATGGCTATCATATCTCCTCTCAGCCTTCTCTTCTTCAGGCTAAACATGGCCAGCTCCTTAAGCCTTAAGAAATGTGCCAAGAGGAAGGCTCGTCAAACCAACCCCAACCGGGACCACCTTCCACCTGAAAACCAATACCCTCACTGCAGGAGAAGATGCAGATCAAGAATAAGACTCCACAGTCACCTACAGACCCACCACACACTGTACACTGACCCTGGAGGACCATCCTACTCGGACAACGAGGGATCACCTAATGAATGAAATGATGATCCAGTTCAAAACAGATAATCTAGATTTTATATGGCAGTGTAAAAGGAGCCTAATAGTGTAGAAGAATTCAGAAAATCAGCTCCTGTATCTCAACACAAAAAGGAGCACCTCTACACAGGAGCAGAATTCAAAACGATCTTGACAGACTAGAGAGATAAGTCAAAACTAACAAAATGAAGTTCAACAGGGACAAATGCAAGATACTCCACTTTGGCAGGAAAAACGAAATGCAAAGATACAGAATGGGGGACAATGCCTGGCTCGAGAGCAGTACATGTGAAAAAGATCTTGGAGTCCTCGTGGACAACAAGTTAAACATGAGCCAACAATGTGATGTGGTGGCAAAAAAAAAAAAGCCAATGGGATTTTGGCCTGCATCAATAGGAGCATAGTGTCTAGATCTAGGGAAGTCATGCTACCCCTCTATTCCGCTTTGGTTAGACCACACCTGGAATATTGTGTCCAATTCTGGGCACCACAATTCAAGAGAAATATTGACAAGCTGGAATGTGTCCAGAGGAGGGCGACTAAAATGATCAAGGGTCTGGAGAACAAGCCCTATGAGGAGCGGCTTAAAGAGCTGGGCATGTTTAGCCTGAAGAAGAGGAGGCTGAGAGGAGATATGATAGCCATGTATAAATATGTGAGAGGAAGTCACAGGGAGGAGGGAGCAAGCTTGTTTTCTGCTTCCCTGGAGACTAGGACGCGAAACAATGGCTTCAAACTACAAGAGAGGAGATTCCATCTGAACATGAGGAAGAACTTCCTGACTGTGAGAGCCGTTCAGCAGTGGAACTCTCTGCCCCGGCGTGTGGTGGAGGCTCCTTCTTTGGAAGCTTTTAAACAGAGGCTGGATGGCCATCTGTCAGGGGTGATTTGAATGCAATATTCCTGCTTCTTGGAAGAGGGTTGGACTGGATGGCCCATGAGGTCTCTTCCAACTCTTTGGTTCTATGATTCTATGATACACCCCTTCGCTACCCTTCCGACACACACTTAAGTCAAAACAGATAGTTGCTTTTTCATTTTTTTCCATGACACACTGGGCTTCATACTCTTTCCACTTGAAACAACATCACATGCCTAGAAAGGGATACGACACCTGGAAATCTTTTCATTTACAGCATTTACAAAACCAAAATGTTCCGACCATGGCATTTTTATCTTATAGCTCCTTTGGTTGAAGCATCATCTCCTACACTGTTGCACTGAAACGAGACCAGTTTTCGCTACTTTAGATATGCATGTGGGATTGTTCTTGAGGACTGCATTTCCTAGCTGTCTAGTAAGTAGAGCCAGAACTAGGGGATCCAACAGAATGTACAAATTCCTTTTTGCTAGAAGTCTGTTCTGGCTACTTGAAACAATTCCCCTTTTCTGGATATCCTTATCATTGATGTAGCACTTAGTAAATATCTCCACACAGCTATTCAATACTCCCGAAACAGATCAACTGTTTATTCTTCAAAGGAAATCCTGTAATTAAGGAGCAACTGTTTTCCACACTCATTCTAAATTTACAATAGGTAACTTAAACATCCTGCTTGTCATGTAGACTATTCTGAAACCATGGCTGAGCTCTTGCATCCGCAGATATAGTTTGATCTCCCAATGCTACCATAACCTGCCTTTTCTTCATCACAGCCCACCCCCAAATAATGATTTCTGTGCTGCTTGAGAACATGGAGATAAGGATACATACCTATCTTTATTTCTATAGGCCAGTGTTTCTCAACATCCCTAATGCTGCAACCCTTTAATACAGTTCCTTATGTTGTGGTGACCCCCAATCATAAAATTATTTTTACTTCATATCTGTAATTTTGCTTCTGTTAAGAATTGTAATGTAAATATCTAATATGTAGGATGTATTTTCATTCACTGGACCAAATTTGGTACAAATACCCGATACGCCCAAATTTGAATACTAGTGGTTTTGGGGAGGGGTTTATTTTGTCATTTGGGAGTAGTAGTTAATGGGATTTATAGTTCATCTAGAAACAAAGAGCATTCTGAATTCCACCACTGATGGAATTGAACCAAACTTGGCACACAGAACTCTCATGTCCAACAGAAAATACTGGAAGGGTTAGGTGGGCATTGACCTTGAATTTTGGAGTTGTAGTTCACCTACATCCAGAGAGCACTGTGGAGTCAAACAATGATGGATCTGGGCCAAACTTGGCATGTATACTCAATATGCCCAAATGTAAATACTGGTGGATTTTGGGGAAAATAGACCTTCACATTTGGAGATTCCATCTGAACATGAGAAAGAACTTCCTGACTGTGAGAGCTGTTCAGCTTTGGAACTCTCTGCCCCTGAGTGTGGTGGAGGCTCCTTCTTTGGAAGCTTTTAAACAGAGGCTAGATGGCCATCTGTCAAGGGGGATTTGAATGCAATATTCCTGCTTCTTGGCAGGGGGTTGGACTGGATGGCCCATGAGGTCTCTTCCAACTCTGATTGTATGATTCTATGACGTTGTAGTTGCTGGGATTTATAGTTCACCTACAATCAAAGAGCATTCTGAACTCCACCAATGATAGAATTGGGACATACTTCCCACAGAGAACCCACATGACCAACAGAAAATACTGTGTTTTCTGATGGTCATTGGCAACCCCTCTGACACCCCCTCATGACCCCCCAAGTGTTCCTGATCCCCAGGTTGAGAAACACTGCTATGGGCACTTACCCACCTACAGACAGAAAACTGGATGTACCTCCACTCATCCCCTACACTCAGGCAACATTGGGGGCCATTGGGGGGGGGGGGGGAGCGGGGCGGATGGATTATCATGACTGCAATGACCAGAAAAGTAAATGGTGATGTTGCAAGGCAACCTTACAACATTGTAATGAATGAACAGGGTACCACACCACGTGTACTAAAGTCCGTATCAGCCAAGCTCTTGTGCAATACCCTCTCCATGCTAATCAACTTCAGCAAGAGTCATTTAACCTTAACAGAAGCAAGGGTGACAATACTTACAAGAATGCCCGCCGATACACTACACAAGGAGATGCAGAAAGCAAAAAATATATTCACTGGTTTTGGAGGTAGTTGTGGAAACACAAAAGCACTGATTAGAGTGACCTATAGGACAGAACACAAGGATACAAGCATTACCTTCGTGCTGAGAAAAAGGTGCAATCTGTGTTACGTACTTCACCATGGTGTCTAACATGGTCTGCAGATCTGTAGGAATGCAGTTGAGTCAGTTTCATGTAACTTTTTTCCACAGACACAATTATTTCAACAGAACTAATGAGGATGAGAAAAATCCCAGTTTCATTAACAAGAATGTTTACTTCCAACTGTGGATACAGCATGCATCCTCTGATTTAGTTCCACATTTAATAGTCTATGTTTTGACTCAGTGTCAAAAGCAAATAACACTTAAACACAACCTTGCAAAGTTTGGAAAGCTATCATCCCAGCTGTCTCTTTGGTACACTCACTTGGCTGTGCCTTTCGGTTCACTCCTATTTCTAGCCAACTGGATGAAAATCAGCTCATGCTCCCAGATCATGGACCATCTAGGAATTTGAGAAATACTCAAGTTCAAGACCTGACTGCAAACTGGATTCCCTGGAGATTAAGGATTTCCTTTTGTTTGACCATCTGGCTTATTCAACCGGGATGGAAATCAGTAGCGCACTTTGTGTTGTGACTGTTTTGGTTTACCTCCTATGCCAAGACCACTGCCTTCAAACTTCAGTCTTCTTTGGAATTTCTATTGTGTTTGGGAAGGGAATGATCAAAAAGCTGTGCATACCTGTCTTCGGGTGGCTATTTCCACCATTACTCACCATCGATGAGCACTGCTGGACTAATGCAACAACTCTCAGCTAAAAGGTGTATTAAGTGAGCCATAATAATAATAATAATAATAATAATAATAATAATAACAATGTATTGTCGAAGGCTTTCATGGCTGGAATCACTAGGTTCTTGTGGGTTTTTTCGGGCTATAGGGCCATGTTCTAGAGGCATTTCTCCTGACGTTTCGCCTGCATCTATTGCAAGCATCCTCAGAGGTAGTGAGGTCTGTTGGAATTATGACAATGAGTTTATATATCTGTGGAATGGCTGGGGTGGGGCAAAGAAGTTTTCTCTGCTGGAGCTAGGTGTGAATGTTTCAACTGACCACCTTCATTAGCATTTGAAGGCCTGGCTGAGCCTGGGAAAATCTTTTGTTGAGAGGTGTTAAGATGTGCCTGGTTGTTTCCTCTCTGTTTTTGCTGTTGTAATTTTAGAGTTTTTTAATACTGGTAGCCAGATTTTGTTCATTTTCATGGTCCTTTCTGTTGAAATTGTCCCACGCCTTCAAATGCTAATGAGGGTGGTCAGTTGAAACATTCACACCTAGCTCCAGCAGAGAAAAGCTCTTTGCCCCACCCAGCCATTCCACAGATATATAAACCCATTGTCCTATTTCCAACAGACCTCACTACCTCTGAGGATGCTTGCCATAGATGCAGGCGAAACGTCAGGAGAAATGCCTCTAGAACATGGCTCTATAGCCTAAAAACCCCACAAGAACCTAGATCAATAATAATCTTTATTTATACCCCGCCACCATCTCCCCAATGGGGACTCGGAGCGGCTTACATGGGGCCAAGCCCGGACAACATATTACAACAAAATAAAACCAGAGCATAAACAATAAACAACATCATCAAATTACATCAAAAAAAATATAAACACAGTCATAAAATAACATTCCAATAAGCACAATCACAATAACAATGGGCGAGCCATATGTACAGGATAAAAACAATTCTAAAACTCTGAGATTAAAATAGGAGCAAGTTATCTGCAGGGAACTAGTAAAAACATACATAGTTGTGAAGCTAAACTTCCCATTTGGAGGGTGTGTGTAGTATCTATAAGAGACATTTTTGTACCAAAGAAGTGTGTCCATTGTCTTCTCACAGAACTGAAGGTATCACAGGACCGCTGAACAAGATATCAGCAAAATGAAACGGTGAAAATTTGCTTCAAATTTTGTTTCAAAACAGAATTTTCAAAGTTTTATCATTTTATTGGTTTTGTTCTATTGGCAGCAATGAGGGAATTTTAGAGGCTTGCTTCACTGTCGTTTTTATGACTATCTGGATAAAACTTGGAACACTTGTACAACACATTTATGACTGTAAGCCAGCCAATTTTCAGAATGTTTCACTCATCCACTGATTTTTAGGACAGTTTTTTTTAAACAACAACAAACCAAAAGAGTTAGACTTCTGAATTTCTCCACAGTGACAGACCATGAATAGGACATCGTTCCTGCAAACCTTCATCCACTGACTTTTAGGGATTTTTTTTTCCAATTTAAGCACCTTGGACAAGTCACACAGCCTCAGAGGATTGAAAAAAAAATTCTGTCTCTCAGGATGAAACTTGGAACACTTGTAGGACAATTTTATAACTGTAAGCCTCCCAAGTTTCAGAATATGTCATTCAAGCACTGATTTTTTTCAAAGTTTTAGAAGTTTTTACAAATACAATTTTAAAGAAAAACTACAGGAGGAATTGCCTTGAATTTTTGGACAATAAGCCATTTTTGTGCATCATACCTCCCAAGTTTCAGAACATTTCACTCATGCACTGATTTTTTGGAATTTTTAAAAATTTTCTCTCCTTGAGGAAGAGACAGCTTGCAGGGGGGAAAACATACAGATACCATTCAGCAACTAGTGGCAGGGATTTCTGGGACTTGGGGTCCAAAAACAACTTCACTACAGGGGGGCGAATGGAGAGGAAAATCAGCCCTATAATTAGCTGAGGAAATGCATGTGATACAGCAAGCATGGCTGTGCTCTGCCCCTCTGACTCCACTGAGAAATTGCTTGCTTCAACTTGGGACAAAACAGGATATACTACCAAAACTAAAGAACTTTTCCAAAATTTCATGGGGGGGGGGTGATTTTGTTTCATTTGGGTTCTGGTGAGAGGGGATTATCATGTTTTATTTCAGGGCTTCATATCTACTAATTGCTGAATTTTTCCAAAACCTGAAATGACGTCCAAAGTTTTACACACCTCTAATAACAGCAAATTCAGACAACATGAAAAATGATGATTTAAAAAGCCAGAAAATCCACAAAGACGCTAAAAAAGACCAAAGCTTAATTTTCACAGTCTAATAGAAAGGAAAGAAATATGGAAATGCTGTGTTTCAGCCCCTTACAGTCACAGTGGGCATGACTGGCTAGCTCAAAAAGTAGACAGGAATACTACTAGATTGTGAGAATGCACTGCAATATTGTGTTGCTGTTCCACATTTGGTTCACACCCACACTATCATTCTTAGAAACCATGACCTTGTACTTAAATACACTAAACTAAATTGAATACTTACTGTGAGCAGCAAGGATGTTACACTGCCAACAGCTAAATTGATTATTCTATCCTGGAAAAACAACAAAAAGAAATGGTGTTACACCAAACCGCAACAATCTATCCCATTATTACAAACAATAGCACTCAAAATCTACAGGTGCTAATAACATTCAAATTCCATGTTTTGATGTACGTTAAATGTAACGAAAATGATTTAAAAATCAAAAATCAGGAAAGATCATTTGTGAGTGGTTCATACTTAACATTCACCATTTCCCTGTTTGGGTATCAGCCAGCACGTCAACGACTTAAATCTAGAAATAGTTTTCTAAGATCTACAGAGACACTCGCTGGAACACCTCAGCAAGCGAGAGGCCAAAAGTGGCAGCCTCAAACCCAGCACCTCAGCCCATGGCTGATACCAGATGAGAGACTCCCCCCTGGGCACACAGAGACTGGGCGACTTGGAAGGCTCTGAACAGACTGCGCTCTGGCACCACGAGATGCAGAGCCAATCTTAAGAAATAGGGCTACAAAGTGGAATCCATGACATGCGAGTGTGGAGAAGAGCAAACCACTGACCACCTGCTGCAATGCAACGTGAGCCCCGCCACATGCACAATGGAGGACCTCCTTGCAGCAACACCAGTGGCCAGCTACTGGTCAAAGGACATTTAATCAACTACCAAGCTTGCAAACTCTGTTTTGTCTGTTTGTTAAAAAATTGTTTAAATTGTCTGGTTGATCCTGACACGATAGATAAATAAATAAATAAATAAAACAATTGCATTAATATAGCACCATTATCAATCATATAATGCCACTTAGGGTACACCTGAACTGTAGAATTAATGCAGTTCGCCACCACTTTAAGACTAATGGCTCAATGCCATGGAATCATGGGTGTTGTACATTTTATAATGTCTTTAATTTTTCCTGCTGAAGAGCAATGGTGCCTAACCAAACGACACTCACTAGATTCTATAGAATTTAGCCATGTCAGTTCAAATGGTGTCAAGTTGTATTAATTCTATAGTGCAGATGCACTCTTAAAATGACCCCCAACCCACCCAACAAACCATGGTATAGTGCAGGCATGGCAAACCTTTTTGTCCTGGGGATGCCTTATAGGCCTGGTTGCAAGGGCTGGGTCAGGAGGGAGCGTGGGTGGGGTCAGAAGGGGCAGAGTCATGAGCTGGAAGGGACAGAGTTGGGGCTGGAAGACGTGGGGGTGAACTGGAAGGGATGGGGCCAGAGCTGGGGCCTCAGAGGAGCTTCAGCACGCTAAGAGGCGGGCCGGGGCAGGCAGACTGAACCTGAGACCCCAAATGGCCGCACCCAGCCCGCGGGCCTCGTTTTGCCCATGCTTGGTATAGTGATTTGAGTGCAGAACTACAACTCAACCATGAAAACCAATTGAGCAAATCACATCATTTCATCTTTAAAGGAAGACAATAGCAAACCTCTTCGGAACACATCTTGGCAAGAAAATCCTATGATAGAGTCACCTTAGAGTTGCCATAGGTCAGAAACAACTTGAAAGCACACAACAGCTATTTCTACCTCCAGCTGAACACCTAATAGCCCTTGGGTACCAGTTGCATGTTGCAAACCAGCCTTTTATTAGAAATGCAGGCTATCAACAGAAAAATCAATAATTCTCTTGACTCTCTGGCCACATCACTTTAGCTATAAAGTTTGTTACTGATTTATTCTAGTGAAGCAGACACACGGTTTAAGTGAACTTTAAACACAGGACGGCCTTTGGTCATTACTTTTTTTAACTTGAGTCTCCAGAAGTACAAGCCAATGATCACAGGAGAGAAAGGCAAAATATCAAAGGCTCTTGAACAGGTTTGGGGCTTTTATGTTTTCCGAATTAGTAGGCAAACTGTTCCATTACACCCTTTAAAGTTCTGAAAGCCACAGAAATTTCAGGGAATGGATTGTGCAATCCAACTTTATGTCTCCTGATGCCCTTTCAATGTGTTAAGAGTACAATGTCCATAATGTCTAGCCAACACACACTGCTATTGGGTGTACATGCAGAACATGGTGATTCATCTGGAATGTACTATGTTGGGTAAGGCTTGCACAGTGATTTCAATGCTAGAATAATAATTTGAAAGGCAAGCAAGTGTAGGACCCTGAAAACTAAAGAAGGCACATTTCTTATGGCGAGCCTCTCCCAAAGTCGTCAAGCTTTTCCTGATGTCCAGAAAAGACTGTGTCTTCAAATATATTTTTCAGAAGTTTGTTTTTGGGGGGGAAAAAACAGCCACGGTGTTTCAGCCAATAAGTATTCCTATGGACTTATTCAACTCACTAGAGCAACCAATTTGTTCTTGTGTATCTTCAAGCAAACCTTATCAAGAGAATATTTCAGCACATTTTGTTCTGACTGGGGTTTCCTTTATCTTTCTTTGGGGTCAAGAATGACCTTGGAGGGCCGTATTCGGCCCCCAGGCCTTAGTCTGAGGACCCCTGTTATAGAAGAAATGTGCCACACTGCCAACATGAGAATTTAAGTATTAAGATTAATTGCCACAGGTGAAAATCAGCATGGCACTGAAATTAGCATCTCTAATGTCTGCAGCTGAAACTACTTTTAAAGATATAAAGGCAAAAAGTGGCTGCCGTTCATTTTCCGGTCCCAATTCAAGGTGCAGGTACTCACCTACAAAGCCCTAAACGGTTTGGGACCTGCCTACCTGCGTGACCGCATCTCGTTTACGAACCCGCACGCTCCCTCCGATCATTTGGAGAGGCCCTGCTCACGATCCCACCTGCGTCGCAGGCGCGTTTGGTGGGGACGAAGGACAGGGCCCTCTCTGTAGTGGCCCCCCGACTCTGGAACTCTCTCCCTAAGGACATCAGACAGGCCCCAACGTTGGCTGTCTTTAGGAAGAGCCTGAAGACCTGGCTGTTCCAGTGTGCCTTCCCAGAATAGGAAACTCCTGGCTTCAAGTCCCAAACACACTTTGTTAGAGATTCAGGATTATCTGCACATTGCACCTACCACCAAATACCTCTCTATATTACCTGTCAGGTTCAGCACTTTTAATTTTTGTCCATTACATTTGGCCCGGCCCCTAGGTTTTTAATTGCATCACGGTGTTATTGTTTTACTGTTCTATTGTTTTGCTTGATGTTTTATCATTTGTTTATGAGTTTTACTGTGTATTGTATGTTGTTGTTGTCGGCGGCCTCGGCCTTTGTAAGCCGCATCGAGTCCTTCGGGAGATTTTGCGGGGTATAAATAAAGATAATAATAATAATAATAATAATAATAATAATAATAATAATATCTTAACAATATATACCTTATGCAACAATTGGGACTGAGGAAGGGAGATGTTGTCTAGTTTCTACAAGACTTCTGGCAGACAGACTTTTGTGTAATGGACTGATAGAATTGATTGATCGAAAGATGAAAATGTCCTACAATGAAAGGTTTTTAAAAACTCACTGGCAGCAAAGTGAGAACTGAAGGGTTTATTCTATATAAGAGGCATTATATACTAGGATATTTCTCCAACTGTGGATCATGATCACAGCTCTTATAAATTTTATAATATGTTTCCCAGTCCCACATGATACACAAGAAAGGTGGCCACCACTGCACTTTGAAATACAGAAGCAAAGTCAACAATGGGTGCTACCTGCTGCGTGACAAAGATGATACAAGTGTGCTGTATAAAACCAGACATAGCAAACACATGAGAGAAGACAAGATTCATATTATTAAAACAGGAGATTTTTAAAAGACTGTGATTTGTTAAAGAAACAAGATAGGTGTCCACACTTGGACAGGCAGAAGTCCCTATTCAATGGCATCCAAACCACCAAAAACTGCTTCACAGATGATTCGAAGAATGGTGTAACCATGACGTGGGTGGAAGAGAGATCACATATATTTAGGGGTGGATCTTCTGCAAGCTCAAGTTCTCCATACCAAAGTCTACACCATTCAGCAGACTCCCCAATGCCAGCTTTGAAAGTGGGGGAAGGGTCCCCCATGAATAGGAGCATACACAGAAATCCTCTTCAGTTAACCCGGTTACATGAGCCTATATCTAGAAGAATATACAAAGCGGTCCACTGAGAACATCAGCAGTTCTCAAAGAGTCCACAAGATACATCCCCTGCATGTACCAGATCTGATCTCAGAAGCTAAGCAAAGACAGGCATGGTAATTTTCTTGGAATAGAGACTGCCAACAACTACCAAGCAATAGAGACAACATTCAGAGGAAAGAAATCACAAACCACCTCTGAATATCCCTTGCCTGTAAAAAAATCCTACAAAATTTAGGGGTAGGAGCAAGTCTACAAGTTGCATGCAGGCACATATTTTACAATATCAAAAGATTATTTAAGAAACCATCCATCCTCTATGTTTGTATTCCCAGCCATTCTACAAGCTCCTGGCCTCCATCAGAAGGTCACAAACTCAGGGAAGGGAGGATGTTTGTGAGGTACATGTGAATTAAGCAAATTAAGTGAAGCAGGATTTTGCAATACCAAGCTTTACGGAAAACAAGCTGTGCAAAGCAAATGAGACACAAGCTGGCCTGTCTAGCTGTAATCAGGACCCAAGGATTAGGATCAGTTGTTGTCATAGCATTAAATGGCATTAAATCTGGGAGCCTTCTAGGGAGAATTAACAGCAATAACACTCCTACAGCCATTACCGTAGACCAGTGATTCTCAAAGTGTGCTCCACTGAGAGTGCACTTGCAGAAGGCCCACGTGGGTAGCTAAAATTTTGAACCTCTGCTTGGTCACATCCTCAGACTCCTCAAATGAATGACATCCAATAATATAGGACTAAATCAAACTTTGAATACTTCTAAGAACTTGACAGTACCCATTACGGAGTCAAAGTTATAATAGATATAAGCAATTTGATTCTCAAAATCTCTTGTCAGACTGACACACCAGATTACTGAGCACTCCATTAGACCACAAAGATGACACCAATGCTACTAAATATTGTTAGAGAATAATATCACAATGGTAATAGAGAAAACTGCCTTTTCACCATCACTGCTACTACCGCTAGTGTTTA